CAGTAGACAGCAACAAAAATGGTTAGAGGTCTGGGAGGCATAACTGACAAAAACAGTTTAGAGAAACCAAAGTTATTTTGTCTGGAGATAAGAGGTAAATAGCAAAACTCCTATGGACTTAAATTTTATTCCATATCTGGATCCCAAGCTTCCCAAAGTTAGATGGGCTTTTAAGTACTAACATCCTCTAAAATCAAGGTGTAAACTTAGCACCTTATTCAGCTTTTCTGAGCAACTTCAGGGACTTCTGTGATACATACATACAGTAAGTTTGTATTCAGGCACTCATTCAGTATGGAAGAGGCATTTTGTCACATTTTATTTTCACAGAAATGTTCGTAGAAATTGTATATTTGTTGCACTAAATAAAAATCACAATGTACGGTAACATAGCAAACCTCAATTTTTTGTTTCTTTCTAAGGTGTTCTCCAATTGTAGTCCTTAGCACTAGGAAGTCAGAAGACCACCAGAAGCCCTACAAGTACTTTGCAGTGCTCATGAATCTTATTCTCGACTCTTATAGAGATGCCTTTGAATGCTGAGAAGGGGGACCATAAGCAAATCAGAATTTGATACGACTGGAGCAGAATGTGGGGACAAACAGGTGGGGAAAGACTGTACAACTCTGAAACAGGCCATTTAACTGCTGCCCAAAATAGCTGACAGGACATAAATTTAGTATGTGGTAGTTATCTGTGCGATCATTTTTCAAGTCTGTATAAATGAATGAATTTCTAACATAAGACACTGCTGTTTCAACAATTATGTTATGAAGTCCATTTTCACGTAACTTCTAAGTTTGCCATAAGGGTTTTCTTTCGTTCCTTTAATAAGCCTGAACTTTGGTGATCTTGAATATATTCTTATATCTTTTTCAGAGTTTGGGACAGATCCTTATTTCCTGTATAATTCAGCCAGCAGTACTGTGGTATACAAATGGGTAGGAAAGAGGAGAGATGTGATATAAATGCTGACAAGTTTATCTCCCAATCATCCCTTAGAAGAGTGGGTAATTTAACTCTGATATGCATAAAATACAGTGTTTTTAACTAAGAAAGAGAACTATTCCAAGTATTCTTCTTGGCAACTGTTGATCCTTTGCATCATGGTGTACGCACAAGAGGACTATGCAACCATCACAGCAAGAACTTCAGCATGTAGGCCTAAGCAAGAGTATGGAGGACTGGATGCTGCCCTAGACCTACCATCCCCCCCTTTAGACTATTGAGACAGAGTCCAAAGGCCAGACATTCAGTCCCTTGATGGTTATAACTTGTGCCAGAAAGCAACAGATTAGAGCTGCTGCTGACTGCCTAATGTCTCAGCAAGGGCCTGTTACTGTCATGATGATGTCCCTTAGCCTTTCTCCAACCAAGGAGTACCCAGAGTACTACTACTAATGATTTGCATGAATGAATACTCCAGCAGCAGCATGAAATATGCTTAAACAGATAAATCACCTATTAGATAAACAGACTGCAATCATTTTAAATATCTAGTCAGACTTCCTGCACAATATAGACTGTTGGGCCTCCCTGAATTAATTCTTCAGGTCTGAAAAATGTGGTTGAACAGGAGGTTCTTTCAGGAAAACACAGAATCTTGATTTAAAAATTTCTAATGATGGAGAATTTCCCACAACCCTTGCTAAATTGTTCTAATGATTAATTATCCTCAGTGTTTAAAAAAAACAGAAAACCGTGAGGGTGCTGTATTCCTCATCATTCCTCATTCCAACTGCCAGCCACTGGATGTTCACTAGCTGGAAAAGTCACCTGTTATCAAATATGTTTCCCATCCCTTAATCTTCCCTGTGACAAGGTCAGTAACCTGAAGCCCTTGAGTCTTTCACAATAACGTGGTTTTTAATATAATACGGCATTCTCCTCGGTCTTTTCTAAAACCTTTCCAATTCCCAACTGCAACAGTCCAGAAATTACACAAGGATTTCTTGGGCCTCCTCTACACCTTACATGTATTACACAATAATTGCACAACTGAATTAGACGTGCTACTAGGGGTGTGCGAAATGGGCTCTATTTGATTTGGATTTGGCCCCGATCAGGGACAGTGATTCAATTAATTGATTCAGATCACTGTTCCTGATTCAATTTGGTCAAATCTGAATCTGAAGATTCAATGTTGATTCGAAGAACCAGCAATGGGGACATAGACACAGCTTTAAATGTTTTTTCTACATGCCTACAAGGTACCAGCAGTTATGGCTCATGAACACTACGATGCTGGGGCAGATGAAGCATCCCATCCCACAGGAGCGTGCCCCCCCACCCCCAAATGCATGCTCATCGGCAAACCCACAAGTGGACCAGAAATACTTCTGGTCCACTTCCAGGTCCGCTGAGGAGCACACGGGGGGGGGGGCTGCACCTCCCAGCTCGACGATCAGTCACGGCGGGGACCTTGGGTGCCCCCCCAGACCCAGGAAGCACCAGTCACCAAGCTGGGGGGTTTGGGGGGCACCCCAGCGTGCTCCCTGGCAGACCCAGATTGCTTCTGGTCCACTTCTGGGTCTACTGCCAAGCACACTAGGGAGCCCCTATGCTCCAGTGGGATGCTCCATACGCCCCACCATCACAGCACTGATGAGCTGCGTGGTACCATTTAAAGCCGTGTCTATGTCTGAATCTCCAATTCTTTCTGAATCTCTCCAGATTGATTCGGAGGGTTCTGATTCGACTTCGAGAGATTAAAGGGTCTCCTTATTCGATTTGGATTTGGAGATTTGGCCACCGAAACAGGCCGAATCTCCGCTAAATCGAATCAGAGACTGAAGCTTCGCACAGCCCTACCAGCTACAAAGTAACCCACATGCCATAAAAAGGCTAATCCAGGTATAAAGTTAGAGCTGGAAAATGTGTGCTAACTTTACAGCTGGTTTCTCTCCAACTTTAACTCGCCCGTGCAGCAAGCACTGGCAATAAGACGTGATTGGATTGGATTTTTTTTAAAGAATTTTTTGTGTTCCAAGTCAAATCAAGTCCAAATCCATGAGTCAGTCCAGAACTGTAAGTGGCCCTACATCTGGCAAACATCATCCGTCCCCACCAGGGGTTTCATATTTTTCCAAAGTCTTTTGGCAGGCATCCTACATGCAGGCCCAGGGTGCGTATGGCCATACGAGCAAGCTAGGGAGAAGCTTTCCATTTCCATTAGGTGGGCTTTAAGCCCCAACACTTTGGTGGGTACTAAACCACACCATAATAGTTATCCCTGGAAACACTTAAGGAAAACTGCCTTCATGGACCCAGATACATGGTGTTTCCCCTGCCAGGCTGGATCCCGCAACCCGCTGTACATGTGCCATAAGTCATTGGCCTGCCCAGGGAGCCGGGATGGAGTCCAACTAGGCTTCCAGTGCAAGACGGCCCTCCTCAGCTCCCCCGCGAAGCACGCCTCGCACGCAGAAGCTTGTCTGCTCCTAGCCCGACTCCGCACGCAACCCAACAGCAGCCTAGAACACCCTGCCCCCGCCCCCTGCCTCCGGGCTCTGCCGGGGTTCCTGTAAGAGCACCTCAGCCGCTGAGAGTCCCCGCTTGCGGCTGCCACTGGCCACACGATTACCCAACCCCCAGTGGCCACCCCTCTTGACGAAGCACGCCCGCCCAGTCCCATAACCCCCCGCGGCCGGCGAGGGCAGGGGTGGGGCTGCTTCCGCCCCTCGCTTCTCCTTGCCCTCAGCGTCCGCAGCGGCGGAGCTGGACGGCGCCGGCGGTCACGTGATCATTCCTCCTCCAGCCGGTTCTGGGCGCTCCCGGAAGCGAATGGAACGCCATGGGACGTGACGTGGTGGAGGTGGCGGAAGTGCGTGGTTGTGTTTTGGTCCGGCCGG